CCTCTTTAAAAATATATTTATACTTAAACGTGTATATGGCTGGATAAGTGCATATTATTGTCATATTGCATGGCAGAGATTAAAATTCTTCAAGTCTGTTGACTCAGCATCATATTATAAAAAGATAACATTCGAAGATGGACACAGCTCCCACTGGCCAGACTTACAAGAAGCTCAGGCAACATTAAGTTCAGTTTCTTCTCAGCAGTTAAAAAACAACACCGTGGCTAACGAAGTGGAGGTTCATAGAAAATGTCAAAGTTTAAAAAAAGCGCCTTACGGTATCCAATTCAGACAACCTGCCATCAGCTCTTTTTAGGGTGAGACTAATCAAGGAACTTGTGTTATTGTTTGAGAAAATATGAAAAACTCAGGGTGTTGCATCATACTAGAATGAATTCACTGTTATATCCATCTTTAAAAAGAGTCTGCATTATGCATGAGACAATCATAGGAATATCAGCTTTGCCAGGAGCCTCTAAAATATTGACTACCATCACTCTTAATACGCTCTACAAAATGCGTAAAATACAGATTCGCGAAGATTAGGTAAGGTATCTGCCAAACCACAGTTGAGCATTTGTCATCTCGTAGATGCTCAAAAAACATCACACGCATTACACACTAACTATATCTTTATTTCTTGATATTATTAAGGCTGCCTTCGATTCTGGAACCGTCTGTTACGGAAAAGACTCCTTAAGAGGTCTGTTAACATCTTAAGCGCTGAATCCTACAATATCTCAGGTGACGTGAGAAGATACAGCCAAACCAACATTTGAGTTGATTACGACTGTATGATATCACTAGCTTTGCTATCGATGACATTCTAAAGATGCCTTCAAGAGAGGTGCGTGGTGATGTGTAGCTCTTTTTACTAAGTGGAAGACTCTCTGATGCCGGGTTTGCTGATATCGTTTTATTTTGTGACAACTTATGAGTTACTTAGACCGCACTTAATGTCCGTTGCACCATCAAATTGCAAAGTGCTCCAAAAAATTGGCTAGAGCTTGCATCCGCTCTTGGTAATAAATTTTCGTAAGTAATGAAAATGTTTGTGTACCTGTGTTATTCTGTGAGAGCTGCTGGCGCTCAAACTGATGACATTTCTAAACATACATCGTGGGCCAGAATACGCTGATCTCGGTCAACATTTTTAATGTCATCATGACGCTAATCTTGCTGCATAAGGTAGGGTTTACGTGTCAAAGTGAGCAGTTCCGCTCTACCCCTGTCAAACCAGAACTGTCCAAGCTGAGGTTGTTTGGCGACTTTACCTTTCCGATGACCTTTGTCTCCAAGGGTAAAAATAAACTGTGGAAGGTTTATGCAAGCAATTCTGAGGCATATGCTGAGGTGTGATGGTGATCTTCATTCATTTTGTGTGATAATCTGGAAACACCGGTTTCGATCAATTTGAAAATTATAGCAAATGTCATCGTAGAGACTGTCATACCCTTGACAGATCACTTGCCCCGATAATGGCTGAAAGAAATGAGACGTAGCCAGTGCATGACATGGCATAGTGCGATGAAAGACAGTTGTGCTGGGTAAGACTCTTTAGGTACCTCACGGCTCCATGGATAGGATTGAAGATACCATGCAACATAGTGGCTTTAGACGATAACAAAACGGTTTAGCATGAAAACCAATAGGAATCATGCTGCGAATTGCTTGTCTTTTTCCTTACCAAAAAATAAAACGAAAGTAGTGGATGACTCTTCAAACGTTTACATGAAACGGCTTTCCTAAAAATCCGTTTCTGTTTTTGCTGCCGATTTGTGCTCCCTTTCTTTTCTTCTCACTGTTGTTTCGTTATTTTGTATGGTGTATCTCTTGGTGTCCATGCTGTACAAGCTGTGTGTAGCAAAAAAGTGTCAGGATGAAACTGTGGTTCCTTTAAGCTGCTCACTGCTCAACTGAAGAGTGAGCATCGATTAAGGATTTTATTTACTAGCTTCTTAAATAAAGATGGAACATATGTGGAAATTTCAATATCAGGAAAGGAGAGACAGAGACTAGATAATATCAGAATGGAACCCGCCACAACTACGTAACAGTCTGTGTTGACACTCCTCAAAGCAGCACATCAAGCCAAAACGTACTAAGATGAAAGATAAAGAAACAAGGAAGAAAGCAGTCGAAAGCGGCAGAGAGTAGTAACAAGGAGGAATGAGATAATACTGAAATTCAGCATGACGATTAAGATGAACATAATGCGTGGATACATCTGCGCCATTGAGATCAATTGTGAACCAGCTACAAACCTAAACTCCTGGCATAGGAAGACTACAGGGTAGGGAGGAGTATGGTATTTTTGGGGTCAACCTTTTCCGCCCCTCCTCTCAATAGGGAAAGCAGTATCAGCATGGATGACACCTGGTCATGGCTGAGAAAAAGCTTACTAGTCTTACTATCGGGATAGCAAATGGAGCCGATAATACGACTTCACAGCGTAGATATTTGGACTATAATAGTAACTCGTTTTTGTCTTACCACTAGCAAACAGACTTTTCTGGTGTCATAGAACCTCGAAGGAAAAGATTCCAGTAAGTTGATGCCATATATACTATGCTGAATAACATAACACATAAAGTAAATAATAAACTGACTAGTCATGACATTGGGTTTAAGGGCAATAAATTCCGCTAGAAACATTGGCTAGTAAATAGTACTGCATCACTGAGTGCTGCATCTAATCTATTATGAAATTATACTTTACCACAGTGCTCAAGATTTACATGTAAAAGTGTGAACAAACTTTGAATTTTGTTCACCTCAATAACAACAAAATTTTTTTGTTATAGGAAATATTTTATTCATAATCTACATACGTAGCATTTCTACTAATAAATGTTGGACCAACAGTATTAGAATCACTTCTATAAATTAGGCTTCAGAAAGCATGATATTATTGACACCATTTACGAATAATTAAAACAGTATATTGTTTGCATATGAAATCATAACAAATTTCAGTAATGCGCATAACACAGCTAAGCGATGTCAAATAATTGTGTTCTGCTGTTCATTTCATCAGTGATTCAACAGATCAGTCAATATAAATATGGGACCTGATACTACTGTGTAACAGTTTAAGTGGCAAGACTTCACGTCACAATATCATGACACAAGGGAACAGAATGACAGACAAAGAAATGGAAAAAGCATAACTGAAAGTCATAGGAAGTTATGGGACGAAAATAATAGGAGATAAAGCAAATATGATGTAAGAGTCAAGAAGAAAATAAAACGTGGATGCATCTGAGCCACCAAGATCGACTGTGAGTGATTCTACCTTAAGTCTCTGAAGATCGATTACCACTGTCATTCAGACACAAACCTATTTATTTTATTTTGGAAACAAGCTTAGTACATCACGAACATCAAGTAATGGATTATACAGACTTTAGTCTAGAAATCTACACTTCTTTACACAGCTCAGACCAACAGTCATAGACTTCATGAACTAATTCCATGTTTCATTTTAGCCTCTCACAGACTGTTTGTGAATCCGAGTAGATGGTGACTAGGTGTTGTAGGAATACGAGCAACAACCAATGTCCTTAAAGTGTCAATGTTTTGCTCTCATTCTTTGACATCTTAATCAGGCCTTCTATTGTTTTAAGGCCTCATTCATTTTCCATATTTTGATAGATACAATACCATTGTTCACTATGTAGGCTAGCTTTGCTTCTTGTTGAGTCAGCTGGTGTGACGCTAGCGATGATAGGATTAACTTGCATGTAGCGGCTCGAAATAAAAATAATATTTAGGATCAGCGTTGGGCATTTTACCCAATACGTCAACCATAGGAACGTAAACGAAGCTAAGATCAGTAATAAATCCCAAACCCTCAGATTAGAAACATGACACAAGATATGTGTTACGAATTTGCCAACCAGTTCAGATGACGAAGGTTCGTTAATTTATCAACTGATTTATCTCTTCCAGAGAATACTTTACACCTTAACTCTACATTACACACATTTTAGTTTCAAGACAAGCTAGCAATGCTAAGAAGACAGCAATAATTGAAGACTTGGAACCTAATCCCATTTCCTCCACCTTTAATGATCACGTTCCACGGGCACGTAGTAGAACATTGAAAACTGTTGTGCAGTACACTCAACTCTTAGTGAATAACCGTATATTTCGCTGGTACTACAAATGACATAAGTTAGAAAAAGCCAACCAAAAGTCTTGTATCCATTCGAGATTTTGTTAAACATTAACCTACCAGGGCTAATCTGATTACCTAATAAGTGAATTGGTCAACGGGTCCAACGGCTTCAATTCAATCATAAAGTAAAAATATTATGTTCGAATAGTGAGAAACGCATCCAAAACATACTTAAACGGTTACCCGACGTATTCAAATAAAAATCCATATCTTTTCAGCACCTTCAATAACTAACAAGATTGCATTTTTCAAGTCGTCTAGCAATCAGATTTTTAATGACAAAATTCAACCAAAAGCCTGAGATTTCTCTTTGTCAAGACTGAAAAGGAAACACCAACCAAATAAAGAAAACCGATGAAATCATAAGGATTTGAATTTGTAATTACGAAAGTTACTTTAAAAGATGACAACACCGTTAGTGTCCTACATTCAGAAGTAACAGAACATGGGGAAATACTGCATTGAAAGTAGATAGATTATTTTTTGGCCTAGCTACATAACATCCTTCTTGTTCTATGGTACTTGGGATGATACATGTCATCAAATCTAAGCAGTAGTTCGTGGAGGAGATAATTGCATTTTGTGAATAAGATACACTGGTAGGAAATGTTTATCTCCGCCTAAATGAGTGAGATGGAAACTAGTTACCCTCTGAATAATAAAATGTGGTCATGAGAATTCGAAAAACATCAACTACTGAATGGAATATTTTCGCATATACTGCATAAAATGAGATAATTGTAAATCAAATGGATGTGAAAATAGAAAGGGCATTAGTGTTTAAGATAAAAACTTTTTGGAAAACATAAGCATTTACCTGAACTTTTAGACTCATCTGCAACGTGAATGTCATACCTGTAAAATTTAAAGAAAGGTATTGAATACTCAACTAATGATATATGATGATGACATTTCACTTTGAAAACTGAGATAAAGAATCGAAGTAATAAAAAGGATGTAGATCATTAATTTCTACTTACACTGTTCTAAGTGATAAATCCGTACAATGAGCCATTTCACTGATAAATTTAAATGTAAATCGTAATATCTCTTCTCCCAGCTCCATACGTGTTTGTAATTTATGACCGAATAAAAACCAATCATAACCCAGAGTAAGATATAGCATTTGAATTGGTTTCAAACTACAATGCATTAAATCATCCGCCCATAACAGACAACGTAAAAGACAAATAAATAATGGTGTACGATCCCATCCAGAAACACAATGTAACAATAGTCCACCAGCACCTAGACACAAATAAAAAAGAATAAATGATTAATCCTATAGAACAACTTTGAAGCTTATGACTAACTAACCCGCGAAAATCAACGTAGAACCTAGCAAATAAGTGTATTGGCTCAAGTTGCCAAGCTTCACAGTAGTACACAAAGAGCAGGTGGATAGAAAAAGTGTTATCAAAGAAGATAAAGTAGGCTGAGAGAATAGACAACATGAAGATCATGGTTAGTGTGAATATTCAAGTTTAAGAAGATGTCAATGAGTGAATACATCTACCCCACTGTGACCGATCTTCACGCATGTCGCCAAGAGTCCTCATCCACTGATTATTTTCGTCTCCTGCACCCCAACCAGAAAATTTACATCTCCCGACACAGCTCAAACCAACAGTCAGGGACTTCATCGGCTGGTACCACGTCTTGGTCTGGCCAGCCACTCGGAACACTCTTCCAACCTAATCCAACTTCTCCTCGTATGGTACGTAGAGGTAGGCGGTGGCTCAGCATGCGTAGTACGCGTCCAAGTCATCTCAGTAGATGAAGGTTCATAACCTCATCAACTGACTTGCCTTTCTTGCTTGGTACCCTTTGCCTGATTTGGATATGTTACATCGAAGACTAAATGATTATACTAGGCAACATTCGTAATATATAAACTTTGAAAAGAAATAACTTCATGTTAATCATTCATAGGTGTTGTAGACAAATATCCCAAAGGTTGAAACCATGCTTACGACCGTTATTGTAATTGACTATCTTTATTTCTGTTGTTTAGTAACTGAACTGACTTTATATTGTTCGATTGCTTAAATGACAGGTTAGTTGTTTTGCTAATATGTTCAGTAATCAACAGACAAACAGGCGTTAGGCAATGAGAATCAATGAAAGCTGTATCCTTTTTACGTTGGTGTCAAAAATGTTGGACACACATAATGATGAAAGTTGCATTCAGGTTATATAATATATAGTAGAGTTCTAATCACACAACTTTCGAGTAGTGAGCTATGGTTCAGAACCATGTTCCATCTGACCAGATACAAATACAGGAAGTGTGGTTTGACTAGGATTAAAAAGTGACATGGGATAACGTAAGATATTAAGTATAAGCTAATAACCAACAAACGACTGAGATAAATATCTGACATAATTCATAACAAATGATTCTATTCTACATAGATCAGATGGTAAATTCCGCTGTGAGGTATATCTGACAAACGATTTAACTCAGAACCTAATTTGGACTATCAGATTTACCACACGTTATTTCCTTTCGATGTGAGTATAATTTCTTAAAACACTTGTGTACATAAAAATTATGGATCAAATTAAATTCTGTTATTGAGATTGACAGTATCGTTATATTTTCAATGATTTGTCGCTTGTGACGATTTCAGATATAATAATAATCATGCTTACGAAATATTGAAGGCAATTAAAATAATAAAAATCTTCAAGTCAAGATTTTTGGAACTATAGTCTATTGCTTCTGGACTGGTGGCTTGCACTACACTTCATGAAGTTGTGTAAGCTGTCACAAACGAGCAGTTAATGCCTTACTGCATGCATGTGTGAGACGTCCTGAAACTTACTGCCAAAATTAGCTGTCATGTTCAAGTTCGGAGAGGGTAAATTCAGTGATGTATGTTATTTCACAAATCATGAATTAGGTCTACTCGGTTTGAACTGGATACGTAAACTACACATCTTGAATATCCCACTGAACTGAGTATGTTCTCGTATAACATCGTTATAACATGATATTAGTTCTTCCCACATATCTGACAAATCTCTACTGGCTCATTTACATCAGAAGCATGCATCCGTCCTCTAGAAGAAGTTTGGTCGCTGCAAATTCACTCTGAAGCCAATATCACGTCCGTATTTGTCTAAAATGTCCAGTTCACTATGCCACAGTGACTCTGGTTGATAATGAGCTTTGAGTGTTCTTCAACCAGTTAAGTATTCTCCATGGGCTGCACCAATAGTTATCCCTAAAGCAAACGGTTTTGCTCGTCTAAGTGCAAATATTTCCACCGGTTTGAATGATACTTCAGAAGCTTATGATTATCTACTACCATTTACAAGAGGATCTATGCGGTAAACTTAATGGTACCAAATTATTTGCCAAAATCCACCTTGCAGATGCACATCTTCATATAGAGATCAAACCAAATTACAGAGACCCAATAACGACTAACACTTATCGAGATCCGTACCATTATACCCACTAGCCATATGGTATCAAGCCAATATCTGCTGTTTTCCAGCAAAGCATGAACACAGTTCTTGCCCATCGACTTGCAGATGCAGTCTACCTAACGATGTGATGATTACAGGCACCAGTAAGTCTGAGTTTAATTTCTATCTTAAAAAGGAGAAGTGTACATTTTTTCATGGATTCGGTATTGGTCTCCTCTTCAATAAAAATGGACGTCGACCAGATCCAAAATATTCACGTATTATTATTCAAAATATACGTCCTCCATCTAACGACGCAATTCTACTACCTTCTCTTGAATCTCCTCAGTTAACACAGTGTTTTCTTACCGAGTTTCATTGGCTGCGTGGTCCTTCAAATCATTCGCTGCCTAAATAAGTGAAATGGAACTGGTTTTTTAGTTGTCAGAATCTATTTAAAAGGGTTAAGTCATTGCGCATATCCGATATGCTAGTTACTTTTAAGATTCTAATCTTGAAATTATTGTTGCTACAGGTGCATCTGATTATAGTCTTACCGTTTTCCTAATGGTAAAGAGAAAGCTACCGGATATGCTTCTCGAAGTTTAAATGCAGAAGAATATGGATGTAATCGAATTGGGAAGGAAGAATGAGTGCTTATTTCGATAATTAAGACGTCCCACAAGATGTATTGCAGAAATTTACGAACTACAAATCATTATTGTCGATATTCGCTTCGAAGCGTACTCCAGTATATGCATCAAATCAACTTTAAAAATGGACGGTTATGGTGTTGGGGTAGTGATTTCAATAGTCAGTACAAGTCAACTGCTGAACTTGGTCAAGTAGATGGACTATAAGATCTATTGAGCAGTCACAGGCTGGAGAATGAGGATGTAGTTGTGCATCAATCTGCATTGAAGTAAGTGGAATTCTAGTGAATGCAGCTTAACTACCTCCAGTTACTGCGGCTCAGACTATATATTACATCAGTTTAGAAGGACGTTTAAAAGTTCAGTCAACCCAGCTAGCCATTAAATGTTCATTCTCATGAGGTAAAACAGTTTTATTATCCATGAAATAAATCTTTATCGATCGTTAGCGATTGTGTAATGTTTGCCAAACGTGTAATGGTTCCTGCTAACCTCCACGGCGGTGTTCTTGGTCGACTTCAATCGATCTTCCCTGACATTGGAAGGATGAAACCGATTGCCCACAACTAACCTTACTGACCCAATATTCATGAACTGACAGAAGACGCTGCCCACTGATATAGGAAGTGTGCCCAAGCATCGAGTCGTCTATAAATGAAAGTACTGTCAAAAAAACATCGTTTTGAGTGCCTGCTGACTTGTCTGGTAAAAATTTCTTGATATACATCGAAGCATACTTTAAATGGTCAGAAGACTTTACTGTGGGTTGCATAACGTCGAATGCAAGAATGGAGCAAATGTATCATATATTTTCTCGGTTTGGTGTTCCTGATGCATTGTAGACTGGTAATGGAACTTGGTCCACATCATATGTGTTCTGAGATTTTCGCAATCAGTTTCGCATTCATTTCCTCCTAGACATCATTCTCAACTAAATGACCAAGCAGAATGGTTTGTCGATGCCTTCAAGAGAGCCCTAATAGAGTTGAAAAGGGACGATGGAGGAAATTTTAGACAAGTTCTTACTGTTTTACAGCACGACATCGAATCTCACAAACCCGAATCAATTATCTCAAGCAGATATCATGTTGGTCAAAAAACTAAGACCGTCCTTCATGCAATTAAACCTAAGCGAACATAGAAGAAGTAAAGAAATACAAACATGGAAAATCAGTTCAATCATCACTATAGAGTTAAATGTCGAGTTTTTAGATCAAACCAGAAAAGTTATAAATGAAAGATATGGACCATTCATGCCAGCAACAAAAAATACTCAGCATACAACAAGAAACAGAATTTCAAGTTTGAAGTTTTATTGTATACATTTGATACATCTCAGTCAGAAACACAGAATATGGAATAAACGCAGTCCAACTTTGCTCAAAATTCAGTTCGACAAAGTAGATCAAAATTATTCCCAGGCGACCGTGTAGCTTTAACGGGAGGAGGTGTAGGAAGAGACACTTTAAATCATTGACCAATAAGGTAGACGTTTTTAAGTGTCAAATTTCTGTCCATGCCGCTGTGCAGTTTTATGATAAGTCTTACTGGAATATTTCATACTTTAAGGAGTCAATCAGGATCAGCTATTTTATTTTTAACCTAACACTTTCTTATGCTTGTGATGCATTTTGTCGAATATCTTCGACCTTTCAGTAAAAGATCAGTCTTTTTCTTCTGATATTTCATCGCTCAGTGAACAGCTTTTAGCGTACTCGGTTCAAGCATACTGTTGCATTCAGTATCGTTAATACCTCAGCGTCTGTCTGATTCCACTCGGTCACTTCACAACCCATGATAAGAAAAACCATGCATCGAGTACTGCCAGACTTTTAATGATTCTCCCACGGACAACAACCTATGATGAAAGCTATATCTCACCGCATGGTGTGGTTATGAGTCCCTGCCAACCAGTGAAGCGATAGTCAAGCTTCTATGATATATATATATCATCGTTTTAAATTATGCAGATTTATTATTTGAAAGTGATTGACCTAAGTATAAGTGTGAATTAATACGCTACAGTCCATTGAGATTTATACAGATTCAGGTAGATAAGAGATACTAGAGATAGAATGGTTACGTTTATTCTCCTCTGTTAACCTATACCAAGTACTATGAAATTATGATCTACAACAACAACAACCTGTTATTCTTTGTGATCATGTGCCAACGGTCCAATTAATTAGAATTGAGGTTATAGAAACACGCTATTTTACTAGTGCCTAACTGGTCATCTACAAATCACATGTAACGTTTTCTCATAAACGTGTATTTTATTGGTTTATATCCAGCAAAAAAATATCACATAAACCATTTAAAATTGAATGTATTCTTTCAAAACATTCACACTATCCAGGATATACGACAGGCACTTCATTGTTATGATAGTACATTCGGCTGAAGAGTCCCAAATAGGACCAAACGCGCGTCCTGGATTTCTCTACCGACCACCAAGATCAATATAATATGATAAGTATCCGGCAGTATTGAGGCATTTGCATAGGAGCCCATCTGCCAACAGAGGTTGAGCTATTCGAAAATGTATAGCAATGGGGAATTACAAGTATCATTACAAAAACTGATACTCGTTGCACAAGGCGGCCATCGTGCCCCAGTGGTATAGTGGATAACGCTCCAGTGTTTTAGGCGAAGGGCACTGGGCTCGAGCCTCAGTGGGGACAACGTCACCCACTGGGCTGCAGGTACATCCAGTTGACGAGCCCCAAATAGGACAAAACGTGCGTCCTGAATTCCTCTGCTAGTCACTAAGATCAATACAACAGGCACTTTAGTTGATTTAATCCACACTGTTTTACCTCATTTTGTATTTCAGCTTAGCTTGGGATAAAAAAAATAATAATTAGGAAAAATGAATGATTTTAAGGATAGTTAAATATTGATTGAAGGGGGAATGGTTAAGAATGTATCCCGATGACGTTTATGTATCCACTTTTGAATATTTTTAAACCTTGAACAGCTTGACATGTTAGATTTAACCAACTTCCCGTGCCCACATATTCTTGTTCAATAGCTGGTAATTCTAAAGATTTTTTTCCACTTTGTCTTTTTTCTAGTCACAGCGACTACCAAGTTGAATCAATACTGGTTTACTAGACAAAGAGGAAATCTCCCTAGTAATTATTACATGGCAAAGCAAAAGCGATATCACACTCTAGTAAAGAAACTTTTAAGAGAGTAGGATTTCCCTTGAATTCCCAATCCGTAAAAAACAATCATTAATTGCTTTACAGGCAATTAGAACCTTGATAAGAATAGAAAATCACAAAGTGAGTAAATACAATTTCAAATTGTTAATGATAATAATGTTTATATACCTTCATAAAGCAATCCAAGGAGTAGTTTCATATAGTTCAAGGTGATTGTATATATATCCCAGGACTGTAAAGGAACAATAATTGATACTTATAGGACATAATCGGATTTACTAGATTAATTTTTGGAAAAGTTATAAAACATAAATAAAATTCAACTCAAAGCTAATGTATCATATAACACTTTGAAACCAGACACTGAATTTCAGAGAAATCAATAACAATAGCATGCAGGCACATCCACACACACAATAGTTAATTGACTTTAAAAGCCTTTTATTCATAAATCACTATCTATGGACTTTGCGTAGCTTCATCGTTTACCGAAAATAAAGAACAAGGCACATTAAGCTATGAGTTCGAAATGGTCATCAAATAATATCAATGACGTGGATGTAAAACAGCATATTCGCTGAAGAATTTGACTATTGACTGAAAAGACGCTAAACTGTGAGATACAACCGTCGTTCGAATTTCTCGATTAATCCCCACTATACAGGATGCGTGAAACATTTTTGTTATTTCTGGAATACTTGGTTGCATTTCAGTGATGCGTAGGCTCAAACACACCTACGTCTGAACCTGAACAAACACAAATAATATGTAGCGGAAGATGTTATTGTCAAGTCTATAATTAAAGGGAATAATTAAGTTGTTATCTGAGCACGTAAGAGATATTCGTCTCCATACAATATGGCATCACAACTAAACTATGGTATAGGTTGCATTGCAATCCGTTAGTCACCAATCACTAAAATCTTACAGAAGATAGTAGAACTCATCAGCTATAACCAAACTAACTAAAATGTAGAGGATAATTTGAGCACAAATGCAAAAGAAACACAGAACGATGAAAACTTTCCATCTCATGCCATCTATAGAAACGAAGAGTGTAAGAACATTCAAAAATATCCTGCAATTTTAAATCTAAAGTTGGGAGACATGAGAAGGACAGAAGCATTTGATCCATATAGTTAGAAATGTTGCAGGTAAGTGTGAAGTGCTACGCAGACTAGATAGACCAACTGATGAATTTATGAGCCTGTTATTGACTACGATAGTTGGGCCATGATGTCATTCATATCGTCACTGACCACTCATGTCAGGTAACGACTAAGGTAAAAGAAGAGAAAGTGGAACATCAACTTAGTTATCGTACTAACTTACAAAGTGACCAAATTTTGGTATTAGTTGTACTGTGCAGTGTATACTTTCAGGCTGTAGTTACCACATCGGAAATCTTCAACACTCCAGTCTGTTCTTACCCATTTCTTACCCTTTCTAGTGATTTTTATGCTTTTATTGATTTTCTAAGTGAGTGATTAAAAATTAGGGCAGTATAAACCGATGTAAGTCTATATTTGTCAGTTCTAATTCGCACTATGTCGAAGACAGACACAATCCCTTTCTATTATCTAAGTGTATTCAATACTAGGATTGAACCAAAATCTCCAATATTTTTTTTTTACCTCATTAAAGATTTTGAGATCGATTTGACTATTAAAGCATCCTCAAATTTGTGAACATGCTGATTACTGGATAAGGAGTGAGGAACGTTATCGTTTATGCTCTTTACTGTTTGTAAGAAGTAGACCAGCATAAGCCTTCTTTAGCGAGGGTCACTACAATGAAAATATTACAACTTCTGATCAAACCGTTATTTGTCGGTTGTGCATGAATGATAAACATCCGATTAGTATTAAACCGTTTGCAAAACTAATGCACTTCAATGCAACACACTTCAAAGTGGAGACTATCGGTAGATTTTGATAACACGTTGTTTAGTATTTTATATTGCGTTAATGCATGGCACTTTTGTTCAAAATCAAAATGTCAGGTCTTATGCACATTTATGCATTAGGCAATGAGCTACACATCTATCGTTGATCATACTACTTGGCTGCCCAAACCTCGGTAGGCGGCTGAAAATCAGCTGTCTACACCAACGAGTTACAGCTCTAAAATCCTGGTTTGGTAGTCATCTCCAGCAGGAAAACAATTGATATCCAAACTGAGCAGTTTAAATTCTACCCAACTGTGGGGAGAGTCAACATGTACTCCATAGCTAGTAAATAAGAGTAGTAATAATAATCGCTTTATTTCAGCCAGTATATAAGTTTGTTATCTACTGTTTGTACTTGTCTAAACAATTTGACGATAATGCTATACAAAAGAAAACGCAACAAACACATACAATAAGGTTATTTGCCCTTGGCGCATAAATCTAAACTAACCTTGTATGCGATCCATTCTACAGAAGCCGATAGCAAAGTTTTTGGAATAAGGTCTGGATTAACGGGTACTTCAACACCTGACTATATGAAGAAAAAACAGTTAACAACGATAAGAATGAATTAAATTCGAGAGAAGAAATATGAGATCACATTTTCATGGAAATTAATGCTTGCCTGCTAGTGCGAATCTGCAGAAACATCCTGAACAAATAAAAATTGAATGGGTGAAAACAGTTAACAAGAATCTCTTGAATTATTTCTGTATGGTGAACAGGAAGTATTTACTGCTTTGAGGAGAAGCAGGCTCCTTCGGAGATTCATAATCATGTCTGTCAGAACGGAGGATACAGATGTTCCTATAGAGTTATTAACTGCTGTGTGACTGTTTACACGATTGTAATAGGTTAGTAAACACATCACCCGATGACAACTAATGCTGCGTCAATAAACAGTGGAAATAAGTTTAAGGTTTAATATTAGCTAGTTCGAAGCACTCATTGCAGAACGGATGCTGTCACATAACTTATTGATTATCCTGTTTCGATTAAGAGGTAGGATTTGATAAGCACCCATAATCGCGGCGTGAAATACCCTACTGTTTCGTCCAACTAACTGAATTAAACAGAATCACCTTGTCATGGGAGGTAAATTAACATGATTTCACGTTTACTTGATCTATTAACATTCTTAATGGATGAATTAAGCAAAAGAATGTACTCAAGAATCCCGAGTTGTACTTAACTTTCATCCCATTATGCAACACAGTAATGATACATTTTGCTTAATGGTAATCACTTCATTATTCATCTGTTGTACATTCAAGGAATACAGCCTATGAGGCTGACTATTACAATTAGGCTAAATTACTATCACGTTCAAAACACAGTAGTTCTTATGTGTTCCAATAAATGTACACTTTTGAAATTAATTTCTTTTGGAGAGAATTATCCTGGATGAGCAATGAAGTCTGTAACATGCTACAGAATCTATTTTAGTGTTTCGGACGAGAGGGATAAATAACAATCGGTAGTCATCTCATCGAGTAACATGTAATTACTATATTAATGATGGATTGTGACTAGCAGTGGAATCCAGGATGTGCATTTCGTCCTATTTGGGGACTCGTCAGTGCAGTGAGTACAAAATCCACCTTTACAGAAATTCATGACAAAGTTAACTAATTAACAAAAAGTGGCACGAATTCATCTTTTGTAAACAGGTTAATTAATCACACAACCCTCCACTAATTCCAACTTTATGTTTAATTCAGTTTATTTCAGGGTAGTAGTTATCATGAACTAACATCATTTGCAGAACCACTGAAAACCTGGGAGCATCGCACAACTGTTTCATCCAAGTATGGGACTCAGTAGTATACACCCACAACCTCACAAGAGATCGAACTCAGGAGTTTCAGACTTCAGAGAGAACGCGTTAACCACTTAGCCACTGGGGCGGAGTTCAATGGTCTACAGTTTCCTACTTCTGTCAGCTCACGTTAAGGCGCGAATATCCGCCAAGGTTTTAAGTTATCATCCGCTTTACTTCCAACTTGACGGAAGTAAGAAACTGAGGACCACTGAACTCCAACCCATTGACTGAATGGTTAACGCGTTCGCCGTCAATATCTTCTTAGTCTTTCCACACCTATTGTTTTAATCCTAATTAGTGATTTCTTATACACGTAAATTTCTATACTCATTAGTTGTTCATTCTCTTGGAAAATGAATCACTAATCACGTTTAATCCTTAAACTGGGCAACACATAACAGTCACCCCTCAGATTTATGATAACGCTTGATGTAGATGTATTTATGTTTTAAAGATTATATCATTTAAAGAATGTTTGCCTAAACTTCAAAGAGAATATACTAACTCGTTTTAGAAAAGAATGACTGTTTATTTATTCGACGAAAAAACCAAAAGAATTTACCTAGGTCTACAAATATTGTTTTTAATGGGTTGGTAGAAGCCGTCAAGAAAACTAAAGGTTTGTAAATCTTATGGACCATGTATGTAGTCACGAAATCAATCCCACTTCATTTCTATCTGCGAGGTGAAATAGTATGTTTAACCCTCAAAAACTAGGTATGGTTTATAGCCTAGAAGATGAACATGTAGACACTACAATGCATATGCCAAGATAAAAACATAGCAATTATAAATGATAACCGAAAATCATAGGATAGGTGTCAAGCAGCAATTGGATTTCATGAAAAGTTAGAGAAGAGTTAAATACAAAAACTTCAGATGTCCTGCGGTAAGTTCACATTGAGAAAACTTTGATACGGCATCGGGTATCGCGAGTTGAACCATATATATATATATATATATATATATATATATATATATATATGGATCGCGCTGTATTCTGTTAACAGTACAAACTGTAAGTTAACCTCGTTCAAATAGTTTCCAATATTATTTGTTGTTTAATCAGTACCTTTGATGTTGAATGAACCTTCCTTAACCAGTAAAACAATAAAGATATGTCAAAAAAACATGTTCAATAAGACAATAAAAAGTGGAGGAGGAAGGACATTCAGTGAATGATTGTCAATATTTCCGCATTTAAAGATGCCTTTATCATTAATACTAATACACTTACCAAGATACTTTCCGATCACTAGTTACTATTATATGTTATTTAAAATGAACCATGGTGAATACCAACCTGAAATCAATTAATAAATCTTCATAAACCTCAAAATTCAATTCCGTTTTTATCTGAATAAAGCACTGGTAAAGAATGACTTCATATGTGTTAACTTAGTCAGTTTAGTTAACATTCCTATTTCATCAGTCAGGATTTAGTTTATGAAATAGGAGTACGGCCCATCGATGTGAGCACTTAACTTTTAACCACCGGGTCTTAGGTTAGAAACCCGCTTCCCCGGTTAACTGACAGACAGTCGAGTTTTAACGTAAAGCCCCACACAATAAGTGTGGCCGACAGCTTGGGGAATAAACCACCAAGGAGTAGTTTAGTTGCATTATACGACCTGCCAAAATGATAGCTTTGACTTGTGCTGTTCAGGAAAACTGATTTACCTTACAGGTTAATTTTTCGTGTTCGCTAAAATAAACTTTCAAGCACATAATGGCGCATTTAGTTTGCACGATGCTCTTCAAGATGAAATGTAAGTTGTATGAGGAGCTGCAGTGAGTTGTACAGTTTGAGCTAAGGCAAGTAATGCTTATTAGCAATTTCTACAGTCCTTAAGTAAAGACACTTTTGGTCACCAATTTTCAGTTTACTACCAGAGGTAGGAGATTGACTGAAAAATTTCAACGAAATGATTCTGCTAGATAAGGATTTAAATAATGAGTTCACAATGTGATACGAGAAAACAAAAGTGTCTATCGTACGTTTTGAAATTACTAACTATAAACAAGTTTCCAGGTTGGATTTCGCGAACTATTGCCCTGAATAATAGAAGTAAAGTTTAAAACTTTCATCAATGCAGTCTTCTTGAATGTGGATATTTCATGAAGGTCACACTGAAACTTATTAATATAATCGGGAAATTCGTTGATCAGTAACTTGACACGTATGTAAATGTGAACTTATCAGTTGTGAACAGTAAGACCCTATAACTAGTAGGTTGCACTATTCAGTGAATGGGAATACTACTGTCCAGTAAACCACGTAATGCTTCCACATAGTAGTGGTATCAGAAAAACAGCGTATGAGAATGAAAACTGTAAGAAAATATCAGACATTCCAACAATGAAACAACATATACCTGCAAAAGATGATCTGCATAAAGAAAATTATTAAAGTAAACATATAAGCTGATAAAGAATTAAATTATATGAGATTCCATGATTGAAAAAAGTCTAAACTCGAAGAAAGTTCATGATTAGCAAAAGCGGTTAATGTATCTAAACATTTGAAAGTAGTCAGATAAGCGACAGAGTAGAAACATGCGAATCATACCATAGCGTAAGTAAGATGTAGGTGGCAATATCTAAAAATTTGTTAGTTTCATCTGCTACTTTCATCTATAGTTATTCATAGTGTGCCTAGTGTGAACGAGTAAGGTAGTTATTCGAAGCATTTCACTGGGATCTCCTATGAGGTTTCTACATTACAAGAGGCATCATAACAGTGAAGCTTTGAAGAACCCTAGTCAATCTATGTGTTGTTCGATCCGAAGATTGAAGGAGATTACCTTAAATGGTGTGCGCGGTTTCATAATAGTTGTATCAGATATCGCGCTACAGGACAGGTTTGTGAAGGTAACTGTTTAGTGACTTAAGATGGTGTAGGCAGACAAGAATTCTTACCAGTGGCAGACAGTCGAGTGAGACAAGAAGGCATATAAAACAAATTTGAAGATGATAGCGAAAAAGCAGTATAGTTCATGAGTAAAAGTAACTACTATTAAGCCATACTAAATGACTGAGTCTGATCTTTGGAATACAGATTTGAGCACCTGTACGCAAGTTAGGGGAATGCATAGGAGTCTTTCTATTTCAGTGTGACAATAGAAAGGCTTAATAGATCATATATAATAAGTTGGTGATTGATAACAAAACAATACGTGGAAAAAAGATCTACAAGTCATTGTTTCATGAATTACTTACCATGTATTCAAGACGCTTATATACTAAACAATTATGTTATAGTACCATTTTATGGTCACTTCAGTTAAGTTTTCTCACATATGTTAACCCCTGTTGAGTTTATCACCAGTTAGAAGTAATTGCTACAAAAATGTAAAATATGTTACTCAAGCCAATATGATCTTTTTTGAATCTTTGTAATTTATCATTGATTTTAGTTTTTTTTTTGAAATATATGCAGACGCAGGAATGGCAAATTAGTAGGGAAACCATACTAAAAACGTAGTTTTCGAGTAGTCCTACTTCACACGCCTACGATACACTTACTCAGGATGTTTCGAGGTGCTTAAATATTTAAACGCTATTGTTTGAGTAGCACTGATATAATTGTTTAGAAATAACATGCATATCGCAAATGGTTAGAATTGTTACTTAGCAATAGTAAATTTACTTCGTAACACCAACGTTGTTGGCTTTACTACGTTTAATTCACTTCATCTTAGTGGTTTTCATATACAGTACTAATTTTTAACCTTTGAACTGGATGATAAATTTGAGAGAAGGTCAATTTTCGATACAACATCTTGTCATGAAAAATCACTGTGCTGATTTAAGACAAGATGTTGTTGATTGTAAATCAAAATCACTGGGGACAATATTGCAACTTTTCAATTTTCCAATCGATTTCAGTGAACGAAAAAGAATGCAAAAATAAGTGAATAATTCAATCAACTGCCTACATGTTTGTTTGTCATTACCATTATATCTTGTCTTTCATTTTCTTAATAACACTATAATCATTACTTTTGTAGGTAACACACCTTCGTTTCTGTATTGTATTCCAGCTTTGTACTCGATTTAAACAATACAGACACCAGAAATCTGAGAAGACTTGGGGCATTAGTTGCCTTCTTGAATTGATGATACAATCATGATGATTTCCAATATCACATACAATACTAGATCGCCAAACGAATACCTTATTAATCCTTTTATTTTAGTTGATTTACTAGACGCATCACACAGTAATATTTACTAAATTACGTTTCGGGTACAATTAATTGTTCATATCATTCAGTGTAACTCCACAACTTAGAAAAATAGACTATGTGGTTCTAATTCTTCCTCCTTCCTTATGATAGGAGTGTTACAATTTTTCAGAGAAAGCTGCTGAGTTATTACTGTTACAGTAAAAATGGATGGCGTTTAGTACTAAATTTGTGTATAGAAACTATCTACATGCTAAGAGTTCATTACTGAAAATGTGTCATCCACATACCTAAACCATATTTTTGGAGCACAACTATATGTTTCGAAGACAACCTATTTCTAAATATCCATAAGTATGTCTACCACAACAGGAGATATTGGTAATACAATGGCGACTCCTTTTTTGCTAAGATGATATTTCGAGTAAAAAATGTATTGATGATAATCTTATCAGAGCAACCATACAACTTTCAAACACTTTCTTAATAGTCCAACATATCTTTACTTTTTTACTTTTAGTGGTAGTAAAATTTCCCAAATGTCTGTAGTTTGTGATAAATCATTCCTGACTCACCATACAGTGTGATTATGAGCTAGTGCATGCAAAGCGATAGTCAGGCTTCTGTCAAAATCACTTAACCTAGCAAGGTTAATCTTTATATATATATGGTTTTGTATTATTACAACTGAAAAAGTAAATCTAAACGCAATTATCACTAAAAAAAATCTTTTATGCAACAATTACCCGGTTCCAATCGAAAAATAAATTGTGCAGTAAATAACCAGAATCACGCCATATACGGAAGAATTCACTACCAGGAAAAGGTAGAGGAATGATTACAAGATCATTGTATCGTCCTTGTTGATCCACTTTTTCTGAAGAACTAATTCTGTACAACAAAAACAATTCGATCGCACAAATAAACGTATATTAGAAAGATTATTAAGAAATAAATTCATTCAAATCAAGGTCAGTCTGAGTAGTAGTAGCAACAACCAAATAGCAAATTGATGAACAGGTTCCGTTTCAGTGAATCCTCAACTACTTATTTTACCGCAAATTATGAATTGGTAAGAGTTGTATTCATGTTACACTGTGAAGACATATCTAACGTGCAGCAGATTAAGCAAATACACATTTCAGCAACTAAGGAAGCATAGCAATAATTGAAAGTGGACAGAAAGAGAATGATAATCTCTAACAGTCCTACAAAATTCACCCAAATAAATAAGAGCCAATTTAAATCCACTGTCAAGTGTAGGTAGAACACATAAGTTGAAGACTACTAAAGAAAAGACAAATATTAACAAAACAGAATCTGATATAACTGCATAAGAGTTCAGTTTGCCATGATCACATGAACATATCAAAGAAATCAGCGAAAGAGAAAACACCAATTCAAGTAGTCATAAAGTAGAACCTGGAAAAGAAGTGCATCTGTTCAAGTTGACACACTTCAAAGTAGAAGGTAAAGGAAACAAGGATCGAAAACAAATGAAGAACGCGGGCAAACGTACATGACAGGAGAAAGTATGAATATATGAAGAATAATAAAACGATTCAAGACCTCTCAGAGGACATCTATAACTAGGTAAGACCTCATATTAAACTGTTACACAGTATAGTAGTGCTTTAATAAGAAGTCGGACATCTCGTCGGCAGAATAGCTCATGAATGTTTTCTAATAACTAGCCACAACTGCAACTAAGATGATGAACCATATATCAAACCAATAAGCTAGTAGGCACACAAATGGAAGATCGAGAAATAACGAAAGTAAACCAAAATGCTAGGAACTCATAAAAAGAAAACAAGAAGGAATAAGAAAATAATGAATTCAGTGTGACGATTATGATAAGGATAAGGTGTGCATACATCTGCACCATTGTAACAGATTTTCAGCCAAGTCATCTAAAGTCCTTAACCACTGATTCCTTTCGTCTCGACGACCCCAACCAGACAGTTTACATCTCCTCACACAACTCAGATCAACCTCGACTGGTTAACTAGTTCACTAGTTACTAACCGGTCCTAAGAAAGGATAAACAGGGAACGTTGGGCACAGACCTAGCAACCCTAACCCGGAAAACCAATCCAACCGCTAAAGAAACTTCAAATCACAAAGAAAATATAAAACATAAAAACAAACTTATTCCTCGGTGGAATCGGAGAGACGAAATGACGCCGATTGGTGTAAGCTTTCGGGAAGCCAATTAACCGATGTGTCTTCGATTCTCTCGATAAAAGCGAAAGTAAACGTGGAGACATGGAATGTCCACACCATATACGAACCTACTAAGGCTGCCCACATTGCAAAAGAGACGAGAGATGACCTGCTACTGAAGCCGTATGTTCCATTAGGAACCCAAGGGACTAATAATAATAAATATAATAATAATCTGGTGAAATCAAATCCATATCGCTGCCTTGTCAATATCCTTGTGTTTGAACACAGTTCCTACAATCACCAAATCGTTGAATGTGCAGAAGTCTGCAAACAATCCTCCATTCTCGTTCATTTCACCTAGCGCCTCTCGACCCATGGTTAGTTCTCTTCCTGTGTTGTCCTCTCTCAGTTTCCCATTCATGTCACCCCACCCACTAGAATTCTGATGTCGACATCTGAGGTGGGGTCTTGTCCAGTACTGGTTGCAGTTGTCTGTAGAATTCCTCCTTCTTCTCTTCATCTGTATTCTATTATTTGTAGGTGCGTAGCATAGCACTGCATGATTATGACTTCCCTTTCTTTTGAGTTGAATCTTGCTGTCATGATCCTGGAGGAGATTGGTTCCCACTGCATGAGAGACAGCCTTCGATGCTGTTGGGAGGAGGACATCATGATAGCCACTGCATAACTCAGTGTGCTCGTGGTTGTCGTCTGGGTGACAATATCGGAGTAGATTGTTGACTCTCCAGTTGACAGTTTGGAGAGTCCACTTCCATTCCATCTGCTGATTCCAGGCAGATTCCAAGCACATCTACGCCAAACCTTCTCATCTCTTTGGCAATCTGGGTAGCCTTGCCAAGCAGCTTCAAACGTTGTGCGGACAATCCATATCCCCAAGCTTACTTTTAGTTTTATCGAGAGAAGCGAAGACACATCGGTTAATTGGCTTCCCGAAGGCTTTCACCAACCGGCGTCATTTCGTCTCACCGATTCCACCGAGGAATCATATTGTTTTTATGTTTTATAACTTCTTTGTGATTTGAAGTTTCTTCAGTGGTTGGATTTGTTTTACGGGGTAGGGTTGCAGGGTCTGTGCCCAATCTCCCCTCTTTATCCAGGTTTAGGACCGGTCAGTAGCTAGTGAACTAGTTAACCAGGTGAGGTTATTCATTTATTTTATTGCTCTAATATTGAGACACTTCAATAAAACCATTTTCGATGAGATGATCTGAAGTCTAGAGCGTGTTGGTTTTCTGCATATGGAAGTATCAAAACCATCGTCTGTTCTTCGTTTTACCTTGCAGTTCAACATAGCTAATATTCCTTTTTCATCTTTTGACTTAAACGTTTTTAGAGCCATGTTTTCAATGCTACGCACCTACAAATAATAGAATGCACATGAAGAGAAGAAGGAGGAATTCTACAGACAACTTCTATCAACACTGGACAAGACCTCAGTTGGCGACATCAAAATTCTCATGGGTGGCGTGACATGAATGCCAAACTGGTAGCGGACAACACAAGAGGAGAACTAATCATGGGTCGAGAAGCACTCGGTGAAATGAACGAGAATGGAGAATTGTTTGCAGACTTCTGCACATTCAACGATTTGGTGATTGGAGGCATTGTGTTCAAGCACAAGGATATTGACAAGGCAGCGACATGGATTTGATTTCACCAGATGGACACAATAAAAACCAGATTGACTTCATCTCAATCTCAAGAAAGTGGAAAAGCAGTCTACTGGAGACAACATCGGATCAAGAGGAGGAGCAGATGTAGGTTCAAACCACTCACTGTCTAATGCAAGGAACCCACTCTCAAAATCAAGTTGAAGGCCTTCGAAGAAGAAGTTGGTGACAGACCACAGTCCAAGTTGAACACCCAGAACAGAAATTGGACTGAAGAATGAAACTACAAAGAAAATCTTCACGGCAGCCATCAAGACAAAATGGGAGATATCGAGTAACATCCCTGAAGAAACCTGTGTGGATGAACACTGGAAGTCTTTGAAAGCTATGTGGAAAGAAACCTGCATAACCGTGTTAGGAAAGAAGAAGAAGAGGAAAGACAAGGAATGGACCTCGATGGACACATGGGGGAGCTGATCGAGGAAGGAGGGAGAGAAAGATGGTGGAGCGGAAGATGAACCAGTGCGGTGCAGGGATGAACAACGAAAGAGGAACTGAACACAACCTATAAAACACTACACTGGACAAAGAAGTGAAGAAGAGTGCGCGCAAAGACAAAAGACACTTCTACCACACATTGGCAAGTGAAGCAGAACAGGCTGCTGGTAGGAGAGACCTGACAACATTGTATCAAATAACCAGGTTACTACCTGGGAGTGGAAAGATCAACGCAGATGAAACCAATGAAAGATAGTGCAGGAAACCCAGTCCTCACAAAAGAGAAGAAACAAAGGAAACGATGGGCTGGTCACTTCAAAAAGCTCTCGAATAGAGCATCACCACCACCTGCAACTCGTCCAGATATACCACCAGCATTCCAGTCACTGAATTACCAGTGAACACAGGAGCAGATGGAATTCCACCAGAAGCACTGAAAACAGACGCAGAGACAACAGTGGACATGCTCACGCCACTATTGCAGAAGGTTTGGAAGGAAGCGAATGTGCCTGCCTGTCGATTAGAAGAAGGGCTACCTTGTCAAACTCCCGAAGAAGGGAAACCTAAGTGTTTGCAAGAACTGTCGCGGAATCACTCTCCTGTCCACCCCAAGCAAAATACTAAGCCACATCATCCTGGAGAGATTAAAAGGAAAATGCTCTGGATTCAAAACTACAACCGGAGCAGGCAGGCTGGCTTCAGGGAGAGCAAATCATGTGCGGATCAAATTGCAACTCTACACTACGCATCATCATAGAACAGAGCATAGAATGGCAGTCAACTCAACTATACCTCAACTTCATCGATTTTGAAAAGGCCTTCGACAGGGACGACCGACAAGTAATTTGACAGGCAGTTGCTTCAACACTACGGTTTTGGTGCCACAAACCTTTATCAATCTCATTCAACAGCTATATGGAAACGCCACATTCCGAGTGATACATGATGGAAAGCTCAGTGACGCTTTTGAAGTGAAGACAGGAGTAAGACAAGGCTGCCACCCACTGTCACCGATGATCTTCCTGATTGTGGTAGACTGGATTTTGCAGCAAACTGTGAGGAGTGAGAAGAGGGGCATACGCTAGCTGGACCGATGAAAAGAGCCTAGAAGATTTCGATTTCGTCCGATGACTTATGTCTGATGTCACACGAACTTGAAGATCTACAGGCGAAAACCAACAAGTTGACAGAAGAGGTGAGGCAGGTCAGCGAAGACGGGACTTCAAGTGAATGTAGAGAAGACGGAGGTGATGAAGATACCCAACCAACAACAAGTAGCAATCACCATAAACGGGAGAAACTTAAAGGAAGTAGTCTCTTTCATCTACCTAGGCAAGGCACAAACGAGGATGTCAAAAACAGGATCAGTAAAGACAGGCTTTCATGAATCTGAAATCAATGTGGAGATCTACTGCACTGCACTGCACTGAGCACAAAGAACAAGATCCGGATTTTTAACACCAACGTGAAGTCAGTCAGTGCTGCTATATGGTTCAGAAACTTGGTGCATTGCGAAAAGCACTTCCAACAAACTACACGCATTCATCAACAGCTCCCGCCTACGCTTGATACTGAAGATCGATGAGATGGCCA